CGTACACTTCAATACGTTGTAAAATCATTTTCTGACAAATATGGTAATAGTGAAAGAAAGCATGCACATGTTTCTTATTCCTTTAACATGCAATAAATTAAAGTTATGATTGTTGTTAACTCAGCAAAAAATGTCAAATTATGAAAACTTGTTTACTCTTCCAAAAGTGGATACTTATGGACAATATCTGAGTGGGTTAAGTTGAGGCTGCTATGGCCCCTCCCTAGCTCTGCTTGTGAATGACTAGCTAGGGCTGTGCATCACTCCAACCCCGGGCTGGATCAGGACCAAATAAGGGCCTTTTGGTGGACTGGGGATCGGACCGACTTAGCCTGAGACTAGACATGCCCGAATAAGGACAAGTTTTCTCTTCCAAAGCGTCAATTTAATCAACAATCATTACCTGAAGCAAATTTACAAGCAATGCCCATTGCCCAATTGTGTATATACAAATTGCAGCAATTACGTATATATTTCTGTTTCGTAAAAAAACATATTACTGGCAGTGCCCAAATGCACATTTGCGCAAGTGTGCACATATAAATTACATATAGTAAATAACAGGGGAGTATTCAACTGCTAGGGTTTTAAGTTTTAATTGCATAATTGTTGATTTCAACTTCTAGAGTTTTAATTTTTTTTTAAACCTGAAGCTGCTGGGCCGTTGGGGAGTGCTGGAATACGAAAAAAATATTGCTTAGTAATTGGTGTTGTTGTAAGCTTTCATTGTTTTGAATCTAAGATATTTTCTATTTACTAATGGTGCTGTTCTCAAAGAAATTTATTGAGGAAATGAAGATGGAAGGTAGAAGAAGAAAAGTACCTGTTCAGTGGTCGTGTTGATGCTGCTGGCGGACCGGCTGGCGAGTGGCGACAGAAGAGAAAACAGTTGCGGCGGCGGCAGTGGCGGAACGGCGACGCCGGCGACTAGCCTCTTCAGTCTTCACGCCTTTCTGAGTGCCTGCAATCCGGATCGGTTTTAACCTCGCTGGAGTCCTTCGGTCCTTGGAACTTTGTTAGGCTATGTGTAGTGCCTTCTTACCAAAATGGCATCGTTCTGTGTGGCAGTAACATGGTGGCGTGGTCACCCGGAACATCTCTCTACGACTTAAATATCCTAGATTCAAAGAAAATGGGATTACCATCTTCATCTAGCAAAGAGAAAACAACATTCATGTTTCGTGCTTTCTTAATGGGAGTAACCATTGGTGCCAACAACAAGAAGTGGAATAGTCAAGGCACTCAATTTGACACGAGCATTTAAACCGTGACTAACAGCTGTCCAGGAAACACTACTCAAGCACTACCCTAACACCCAGTATGTTTACACATCGAAGAACTTTAGTAACCGTTTTCGAATAACCCGTTCTTTGTTTTTAAGAATACTACACGATGTTGAACGAGAAGTGTCTTGGTTCAATATCACATGAACATGATCATCTTTTTTATGAGATAAATAAGAGTTTACATTATCACACTGCTACACTGCCAACTACCACGCCTCGTTGTTATCGAGCTTTGTCGCCATTCGTTAGCATTGACCATCGTTGAACGATGGTTGCCAACCACACTCCACCATCACATTGCAACTATTCGTACTAGTAATATATTCTGTGTAGGACAGAACTTTTTATTATTTGATTTAAGTTATCATTTAACTAATTAATTGATCATTGACCTAATAAATACCATGCGTATTAAATTGATATTTATTCAATTGATGTAATGATTCTTACGACCTAATTAGGGTTTTCCCCTTGGGTTTATACATAAAGAGGTCATTAGGCTAAGGTTAACACACCAATCTTACGCCTCTCCTCTGCCCCTCTCTCTCTCTCGTGAATATCTAACCTCACCCCTACCAACATAATAATACACCCTAAACGGGAATCAATCATCATCAGAATCATGACCTCATCCTTATCAATATTCACAGGATTATCAGAAACACATGATTCAATTTTTGATTTTTATTTGTATATTAAAGAATTGATCAACATGTGGTACCGGAGTTGTTGTGTTGATTAATCAATTCTTTTCGTTACCTCAAACTTGAACCAAAATCGAGGGGAAAAATATGTTTTAAGTTTAAGGAAAATCAATCGCGGACAAATATCCAAGATTCTGATTAATAGAACTTTAATGGCGATAATTTTAGTTCTAAATTGAAACAATTATTTTGACTTACATTCACAAAATCAAGTTTTTTTATAGAAATCTTAAATATTAATTCTTTATGATCTTGATTCCAATACCTATAATTCTAATAACTTATTCTTATTCATCCTTATTTTGATGTAATCATCTTGTTTTGGTTTATGATTTGGAACATAATTATGTTTCTTTAATTGTATAACATATTTTGCTTTTGCATAATATATTTTGTTTACTTTTATTAGTTTATTTTGTCAAACTAGCAAACTAAGTAACGAATATGCTAAAATACCATAAAAACTTAAAATTTCACTTGTTCGAAAATCTCTTGCCTTATATGCCTTATGATTTGTGAATTAAGATTATCTTAATGGGTCCCAAATTTTTTGGGGCTCCACCCCAAACCGTGTTAACTTTTGTTGTTATTTAACTATTAATATTAAATTTATAAATTATTTAACTAATTCAAATAAAATTTATTTTCAATTAGTTAAATTGATTTATTTTTTTCTTGACTTGAATAATACTTTAGAATACACTTCAGCCTAAAGGTGATGTGTAATATTTGTAAAATTTATTCAAGTCTAATTAAGCATGGTCACTTAGTGCATATTCATAAATAGATATTCGCATGACATTCACCATAAATGCATAATGTTTTCTTCCCAAAGATGATGTCTTATAATTTTGTACTGCGAACTAAACATATATATGTGCATTAAAATTTAAATGTCACAATTCTACTCAAAGGTGATGTGTTACATTTAAATTCTACATCATAATTTTATTATTCATAATACTTAAATAAGTGGTGATAACCAAAGCGAAATCCATTTGTATAAGTAGAATTAAATTTAGTCTATTTTTTTGGTGTTACAATTACAATATAATGGTCCTTATCTTCGTCTGCCTTAGTTCATTACCCCTTAGATAACCACAAGTTCTTTGTTAATTACGTGTCTTATTTCTTTCATCTAAATCCACTATCAGCCCCAAATATAAGAATTAAGACTTTAAATGGTGTGAACTTTTCTTCATGGAAGGATTCACTGATGCTAACTCTGGGCATGTTGGATTTTGGTTATGCAATGAGAGAAGATTCCCCTCCTATTCTCACTGATAAAAGTATTGTTGAAGATAAAATAGTACATGAGAGATGGGAGAGGTGCAACATAATGGCTCTTATGCTCATTAAAAATCCGATTAGCACAATCATCAGGGGAGCTATTCCATGCCAGGTTCATCTAATGCTAAAACATATTAGGCTTCCGTGGAGGAACAACTCAAAGAAGCTTTTAAGACACATGCTAGTACTCTTATTTTAAAGATGGCGACTACGAAATATGACGAGAATAGCTTCATTCGCGAGCACATCATGATGATGAACGACATGGCCCGTAAGCTCAACAGATTAAACATAGAGATCAGTGAGGGTTTTCTGGTGCACTTTATTATGACTTCTCTTCCTGCATCTTTTGAAGCTTTCAAGGTCAACTGGTTGACCCAGAAGGTCAAGTGGTCAATGAATGAGTTGATTGCCTAAAGCTGGACAAATTGGATGTGGCTTGCCTCATGACTGCTAATCCAAAGAAGAGGAAGGGCAATATCGATAAGAAGGAAGATTCTAAGGTCCAGGAACATGATGCAAGTGCTGTTTCTAGCCTTAAAAACTCCAAAGGGAAGTCTTACTATAAGTTCTGCCGCAAGGAAGGGCATAGACAGAAAGACTGCAAAGACTTTAAGGAGTGGCTAACTAAGAAAGGTAATCATCTTTACATGATACTTGAATCCTTTAATTTAAATGTTCCAACTAACACATGGTGGTTTGACTCTGGTTCTATGGTTCATGTAACCAACTCACTTCACGGATTCCGTACAATCCACAAGCTGGAAAGAACTGAAGAACATGACTTAAACTAGGGAATGGAATAGAACTAGTTGTAGAAGCCGTGGGAACATTAGAATTAATAATGAAACTGGTTTATGTATTAAAATTTATGATACCTTATATATTCTTGAGATTACTCAAAATCTAGTATCAGGACCAAAGTTAGATATAGACGATTCTGATGTTTCTCATGGTCATGGCAGACTTACTATTAGTTTAAATTATCAAGTGTTGATTATGGTTATTTGGATGGTGGTCTCTATAAATTAGAACTAGATGATGATTTTTCTAAATCTTTGTTGTCATATAATATCAAGCAGACGTACACTATCAAAGAAAAAACGAAAATGGGACTTAGAAACTTCATCCATGTTGTGGCATCAATGCTTAGGCCATATTTCACGAGATCGTTTTTCTAAACTCATGAAAGATGAAGTGTTACCATCTCTCGATTTCAATGATTTTGAAACATGCGTCAAATGCCTTAAAGGTAAAATGTCATCAATAAATAAGAAAGGTGTCAAGAGCTCATTCACACTGACATTACTCTATCACTGGCATTACTAGACATAGCTCATTTATCACTTATATTGAAGATTATTCTCGTTATATGTACTTGTATCTTATTAAGAAAATATCTGAATCACTTACAACTTTTAAAAATTATAAAACTGAAGTTCAAAAACAATGTGATATTCATATAAATGTTCTAAAATCACATAGAGGAGGTGAAGAGATAGTGATGTGGGTCGCGCTCTAGTATGTGGTTATTATGCATTGAAACACATTGTTAAGTTCTAATGCTCTTATGAAAGAGAGCTTACATCATTTTCTTTTTTGTCCTCCCCTTCACATCCTCACCAACCAAACATAATAGTACCGATAAAGAGTTGTAGTTCCATAATCCTAAGGTCTACAAGTAAAATATAAATCTTCTCACATTTCTAGTGAGCCAACATGTAATTTTTCTTTCAAAAAATCCAATTCATCCCTAAAATTTATGTACTCCATACTAAAATTCATAAAATAAAAATGAATAGAGCCACCAATATATATCCAAGGCGGATCGGACTACATGAGTATATCTATTGAGCGTTCAAAATCCTTCCACATTTTCGCAACCCTAATATCTGTTGCTCTCAGGCGCGCTTCTCAACTTCAACCTAACATGGCTGGAGGGGGTAGCTTCATCCATCGAGTTCTCTCCTACGTGATCAATGAAGTCGTTGTCAATGGGCTCGCCAACAGGTAACGGATTTTTCGTGCTTCCGGCTATGCTTTAATAGTTCGTGTTTATAAATTTGTTGACGGTGGAAACATCCGTAATTTGATGAGGTAAATTTCTCCGCATATGCTTTCGTTTTACATGCAATCTGAGGAGGTGGATGATGGCAATTGTTGATTACAGATTATAGTTGCAATTCATTGGACTTTTTTGACCAATTAGACATTTAGGTTTGTTAATTTTCAATTGAAGCTGATGGCAGATTGTCGTAGGCTTGTAATATTTCCAAAAATGTCTGCTCTGTAATTCTATTAGTTCGAGCAGTGACATGCATGTGATTTTACAATTTTGAGGAATTGGCAGAACAAGTATATATAAATATCGCATACTAATGCATACGAAGTATATATTTTATTATTTTAGAGTAATTATACCTAATTTTTTTCAACGGGCAGTTTTCCCCATTGCCTCCCTTTGTATCTGCCATTGAGTCTGAGGCTGCTCTGTTTATTTATTTACCGAATCATGGGGTGTCATCACTCATCTGGGCTATAAAGCACTCTATTGTCACTACCTATCAATTTTTTTGTGAATTGATTTTAGCATTTTTAAGGAGTGTAGTTAGAGTGTGCATGGTTGGTAAAGAGAATTATTCATCAGAAATGTGTATTTTTTTCGCATGTGATAAACAACTAGTTGGATTCAGACCATGCAATCAGCTGGGTTAGGTGGAGAATGCATATTACAGCTTGCATATTACAGCTTACAACTAGTTGGAGAATGCATATTAGTCTTCTACGGAGAAGGTTTTGTGGGTTTTGAAAAAGAAAATGTATTGGTTTTTATAGGTTTTATGGTTCATTAGTTCACCCAATGATGACTAATAGTAGTCTTGTGATGATTGCAGAGATTTTATAGGTTTAGCTGCTCTGTTTATCTACTAAATCATAGCATGTTAACTTGCCATAAATTAGTCTTTTACTACCTGTGTTATTTGTATACTTCATAAAGTTGAGATTCTCATATGTTTAATGGTCTATGTACACTAATCTGCTGCCATTTCTTTTGTGACTTCATATATTGAATTGATTATTCTCACATTTTGACTTCATTTGTTTTCAATTTAATATTTTATTGTATTTTTGCATCCTAAGACATTTTTCAAAAGAAGGGGTCTTTATCCTATTCCCCTGCTTTTTGTGTGTGGAAAGTTGTAGTCCTTTCATCCTATAAATAATTTCAGGTTTGTAAACATATTCTTGTCCCCCCCAAAAAAGAGTAATTTGAACAAAAAGAAGTTAATTTTCATCATAGTTGATGTTTTTAATAAAAGTTTCCCAAACAGCTATGCTTATACTCTAATAAAAACAACAAAATAAGTTTCAATATATAACTATATTTGATGATCATCAATAGTTTTAAGGACCTTACTAAAATTTAAAATTTGTGCATTTGTAAAATTGACTCTTTATAGGCTGGAGGGAGTAATGCATTACTATAGATAAAATACACTACCCATCTTAAAAAAGTGTCTAGTTTTATCAAGGGGGCAAGGCACAACTCTGATAATTATCCATCTTAAACATATAATACTCCCTCTGTCCCAAATCAATTGTCCCAAGTTTGACTTCACGGAATTTAAGAAAAGTGTTGAAAACTAAAAAATGAGCAGTTGAAACTCTTGAAATTTGATTAGAGGAAAGAGAAAGATTGTGGACCAAAAAATCTTTACTTTATTAGGAAAGTAAAGAAGTGAGACCATTATTTTGGGACAGATAAAAAAGAAAGTGAGACGATTAATTCGGGACGAAGGGAGTATTACATTTATTTGTGTTTTATAATTTGAATACTCGTATTTAGTGGTTAACACGTTTGGAACTTCTGACTACCTTTTAATGGAAATACTTACATTAAATCTAATGAAATATAGATTATTTTGTTGCAAAAGGACGCCTTTTTTTAGACAAAAAAGTTTTGGAACATAATTTTTTCTCTTTGGGATGGTTGGAGCAACTTATTTTACCTGAAAGTTATCTGGCATAACATTCTCTGATCAATTAGTAGTTAGCTAATAACTAAGCACTAAACCTAAGGTGTTTTCATTTTTAGCCCATCATTCCAGAGATTTGCTGTGAGGACATCCAGAAAGATCGAGGAGGTTTCTAAGTTAGGTATATGTCAAATTTTCCTTCCCTTTGGTTTTTCCTGTCTTGAATGTTTTGTATTTGTTAGGGTTTCAGCCATAGCAAATGAGAAGTGTTATCCAATTGTCTCATTGCGGTTTCAATGTCTGTTTCCAGCTGAACAAAAGAAGAAAGAGATCATGGAGCAAATGAATGATGCATCCAAAAAGTTCTGAGGTTGTACTTTCTTAGAACTTCATTTTATGGACTTACCAAATGCTCTACTTGTTCTAATAGCTCTGATTTTACTTTTTCTATACTTTGATTGCAGAGAGGGTAAAAAAAGAGTGAAGTTCTTGCAGTATTTCAAGAATGATGTGGTGGGGGTTGGGGGTAGCATTCTTATCTCAAGATAATAGTCACCAAAAAAAAGACATGATTTTAGTGCAGCTACCTTATTATAAAGCATGCTGTGTGTAAATTTGCTTTACATACCTGATTCACCTGTGTTTTCGACTGCAATTTCTTATACTTCGATCTGATGATGATGAAGATATCAATGTTCCCCCCTATCTAAATCTGTTTTAGCTTCTAAATGATGTTGCAAAACTAAGACAAGAAAATGATTTGTGAACCTGGACCAGATTTGTGCCTTCTTTTGGGCAAAGGACCAGAATGTGCTTTACAAGCTTTTACAACAGCATATAGGGGTTGGCACAAACCCGGTCAGGAAGGCCCAATTTGTGTGATCGGGTCGTTGAATTATTATAGTTGGAATCACCCCCCCTAATCTGTATGTCTTGTTTTTAAATGCTTTGGTTCCACTTGTTATCGGACCGTAATCCAAGATGAAGGCATGAACAAATTTGCTTGATTACACACTTGTGCTGGCAGTAAAATGCATATAAATCTTTAGGGGTATGCACACTTCTAAGCAAGTAGTCGAATGCCTATACCTGGTTTAATATGTAAATGTCGCTTAACTAATACTCCTTCCGTCCCATTTTATGTGGCTTGTTACGTGTTGTACGATGTTTGATTGAAGTTATTTTTCCTTCAATTTACAAGACAATGTATAAACAACTTCAGAATCCAAATTCCCAACATCTTGACTGACCCAAGTGAGAGCTTTCCCGCTTCCCGGCATAAGCAAAGGGTCCTGAGCACAATGATGAATCTCATTAGTAGCCGGTTGGAATGTAACATCCGGCTTAAGTCAAAACCATTCCAAGAGCCACGACTCTAGCGAGAGGGAAGAGCGCCTTATTGTCGGTTCGATTTTGAATTATCGCTAGAATGAGCTAGTGTTTGGCTTGAGGCGTCCCCATTTACCATATTTCATCCCTTCCATATTTCATTGCTTAAATGTCTGTTTTATTAGAGTGGAAGGAAGCGAAACCAAGGGAGTGTTCTTTTCCGTTGAAAAAATTAACTTCTAATTTTATTAAATTTCTATAATTTTCTTCTAATTCATTACAGCTTCTTCCAATGACTGAAAAAATGTATTTACATACGATGATTATCCAATAATATTATATATCCAATTTCATAATATAACACTTCAAACACAGACAAAAATGAATTCTTTTTTATATCCAAAATTAGTTTTCTTACATATTCATTTCAATGATCATTAAATTGAGTCATTTTTTTAATACTTTATTTTTCCAATAGTTTTCAACTCTCTCCAAGTTTTTTCAACTTCTTCCAGTTTCTTTCAAGTACTTTCAGTTTCTTCCAACATCTAACTTTAAAACTTCAACCAAAAAGAATAGAGTCTAAGTCAACCCACAAGTTTAGTTTTAAAAAGTGAAGGGGAGGAGAGCTAAAACTTTAGTTTCAACTCTATCATCTCCCCTCCAAATCAATCCATCTAGCATTACTCTTCTTTGAAATGTGTGTAATTTGTGTCTGATGTTTGTGACTTTAGCATTACTCTTCTTCTTTTCTCTCTTTTTCTTCTTTCGTCTTTTTTCTTCCTTTTGTCATATTATATATGTTTCTGATCTAACTACGGAGTACTCCGTATTTTTTCTCTAAGCTAAATATCTGATCTTAATAAGAATAAATAATAAGTTGATAATAATAGAGTTCGATAATGCCAAATTATATCAAAATAGAATGTCAAAACACTGTAAAGTGCCAACACATAATGCCATATTTTGAGTGTTTCACAGTATCAACACTTTTATTTAAGATATAAAAATATAATAGATCATATTCTAGTATAAGTTTTGTGTTATAGTTATGTTTAAGTATATTTCTTTTAGTCTATATATTGTGTGTACCCATTAGCCATCATAGGGGTGAGCGTACAGTATTCGACCCGTATCAAATATCAATACCGTATCAAATATTTTAATTCAATTTAGAATTTGTATGGTCCGTTACTTCGTTTTCGGTACAATCCAAGATAAATACATTTGTATCTATTTTATGCTTAAAAATGTAAAAAAAATGTTTTGCTTCGGAAAAATAGAACATTTAAATAAAGAAACATAGTTACACAAATTAAAGTAAAGAGAACAAATGATAATAAAAAGATATTTCAAATAATGTTTTTTAAACTTATGCATGGAAATTAAAAACTCAAAAGTAAAATTCATATATAATAAAACTTGAAACTAATTTTTAAAAGTATTTGTTAATGGTGAAATATAAAAAGATTAAGTATAATACATTAGTATATAGGTTCAATTCGAAATGACAGACATCAAGTTTAGTGTCATCCATCACCTATAATGTGTGTGAGCTGTGTGACTGTAGCATAAGCCAAATATCGAAGACTTGCCTCTAAGATTTTCACTTCAAAGTTGATCTTATTTAAGTTATGTCGCATACCCACTTTGGGTGCCTATCTCGTCTTAACTTCTGCAGAATTCAAGGTATATGCTTTACTTTGTATATCTCATGAAGGATATGATGTTCTTCCTCGCAATATTTAGCATTGCAACTCAACGGTATTTGGTGATCGTATAGTTGCAAGGATAAACATTTCACTTTTTTGTTTAAGGTATTACGGTAAAGTTGAGACAAATACCTCAATTTTATATTTTACACAATATAGTTTATAATATGTAAATGAAATACAATAATAAAAACATCCTTTGCTAAGATCACATTGAGCAGTAAATGAAATACACAAGTAAAAAGTGCACCCAGAGTAACTTTTCAATACAATCCGGTTAGATCTCACAATTGGGTCTGGGGAGGGTGTGCGGACGCAGACTTTGCCTCTATGCAAAGTAGAGGGTGCAGTTTTTCAGTACATGAGATTTGAAACTGACATGAGACAGTATTCATTTCTTCATATAAATAATTATATAGTCAAACTCAAATGTGTACACATTCTCCTGAGATGGGACACGGATCAAAAGGCATAGCAACCCTAAATCAAACGCCCAAAAAATATATATATATAACAAACCATAAATTGACTTAACTATATATAACTCATCATCAGCTAGATATTCAGCTGGCAGTGCATTGTGATCCTTATGCCTCAAAAACCAACCATGACACAGAAGAACCGTTATTTACAGCATAACAGTCCCCGCATTTGTATGCGGCTGCGGGGAGAGAAATGGAATGAAAAGACTAACAAAACTGCTCTCCAAAAACTGACACCAGAAAAAGCCCCCAACATATTCTGTATGCCGCAACAACAGTATGCCACCTGAAGGGACACCAAGAAATAAATGGGTTTTCGATAAAGAAACAACAACATGCCACCTTACTAAATACACAGCCTATATATCAGTCTTAATCTTTTCAACTTAAACTCCAGTTATCTAGTCCTTATTTTCTAGACTCTAGTGTTTAGTCCCAAAATTTAGATGAGTTGTATAGCAGCATTTAGACTCAAGTCACCTCTCACCAGACTCAAGGTTCCAATCTCCAGATTCCAGCTACCCTCCAATTAAAAATTAAGGGGAAAAGAAGTTATGCCTTTGTACTAAAATAAAATTCTGGTTTTGACCTGACATATATATTTAAAAATTGTGGTTGAGAATTACTAAGCATAGGAGAGACATATTATAAACCATACAATTCTTTCCTTCATATGAAAGATCAACCTTATTATGGGAGAGTGGAAAAGAAAGCAGAAAACTTTTTTGAGAAAAATAGAGGTAAAATGGCTTATGTACTTTAATGGGAAAGTGCTTTTAACTGTAATAAGTGTGTTTTTAAATGGGACAGATGGAGTGCAGAATGGGTAAAATTGTTTTGGCTTTAAACAAAAGCTTTATGATGTGTAAGAGCAGCGGAAGACTCACCTTCACCAATCTTCTTCACCCCTCCAATGGGATCACGGGAAAGCTGTTGAACCTTGAACAAGAATTGCCCATCAAGAAATCACCACCTACGGCATCTTCAATGCTAGCTTTACTTGGGCCAGGAGTGACGGATGCATTTTACCAATGGCTGCATTGAAAGACTCTCCATGAAGAGCTGAACATGTCTGAAGATTTTCTCTCACCGAATTCTCTAGAGAAATCTGCCTGATGGGGTCAGAGAATTTAACCTACACCACAACTCACTTTAGCTATAAACACGCATTCAACTTTAATCAAACAAGAAACACTGCTTATACCTGTCTCCTCCTCAACTCTTTACTTGGAAAATTAGGCCTGCTACAGCTGTTGCAGTCATTCCACAACATGATTTCAGATATTCAATCATGGTTTAATGCTCACACACATGAAGAGCCATAGGGCACTGGTTGAAGTGTTGCCATATGACATTGATGTCATATGCTCTAGCCCTCAGAGGGTAATATTTTAGTAAATTATACCCTTCTGGTGGGATACTTCTATGGAAATGTGGACACTTTGTGTGCGTGTGTACGCGCGTGCGTGCGCACATGGGTGCGTGTGTGTGCACGTGTGTCTGCGCATATGTAGAAGATCCAGAGAATTATAAAAAATTAAAAAAAAAGCTTATCAAATCATACCTGGACTCTTCTTCAGTTAGTTGCTCTTCTCCCTTGGCTAGTATTATACTAGTGCATACACTGGAATTAATCTGATGCATTACTTTTATGTGTTCAAAAGAATAGAGAGTGTGCAATAATAAAGTAAATCAAAACAAAAGCATAGTGAATGATACCTTAGAATCTGTTCAAGCCTATCCAGTACTTGAGGATGCCTTAAAGTCAAAACTATGGAAAGAGCCAAACCGATCACCTTATTCTGCTTAAATGTAACATTATCAACCTGTGACATGAAGTGACTAAAAATAACTTTAGACCATTGGATACATCCAATATCAGAGCGCAGTACAGATAAATAGGATTATAGATTTTAAGACCCCTATTTGTACAACAAAAACAACCTAGTTGAATCCCATAAAAGTAGGCTCTGAGGAGAGTGTGTATGCAGACCTTACCCCTGCTCAAAAGTAGAGAGGCTTCCAAAGAGATTCCCGGCTCAAGCACCACATGTAATCACGTACGCAGCCTGACCCATATGTTTCAAACATAGAGCGGCTGTTTCCGGATGACCCATGATGAGCTTTGAAAATTGCATTGACTAACTACTACTTCAGTATAAAAGAAGCGCATACAATTTAAAGAGCCATTTTGCTTTCTTCCATGAGTTCCATCATACCCCTATATGTAATTTAAAGACTTTCTTGTTTATCAACTGACCTTATCAAGCCATGAGTCAACCAGGCAAAGAAGTATGTTTTCTTCAGAAGGGAAACCAGCTTTCTGAAGATTTGATGATAGCAAGGGCTCAGATGTTAACTGTGC